AATGCAGTGTACATGATCAAGCGCGGGCTTGAAACACCAACTCTACAAACCTGAATCCCCGGGACCAGGGCTTAGTGTGCAGTGCAGACAACCATAAGAGACCAGGACCTCTAGGCATTGGGCAAAGGGACTATGGGTCTGGGCAGAGAATGTCATTCAATCTGCCTTCTGGGGTTTTGGGGGTCTCACTGCTACTCAGATCCCAGCTTCCCAATGCTGTTCAGACTGCAGATTGTGAAAAGCTGAATGACTGAGCTTCTGCATTAGCATGAATCACTTTCATCACACTCCACACTAAGGACTCAGCCAAGGCTGCCCTAGAGGAGCTATGGGATGCCGGGGTCCCATTCTCTGGTGTACAAGGGAGCTCATGGTGTTGCGCAGATGCTTTGCAGTTGCAGCTCCTCTCTCCAGGTCAGGTTCCAACACACGAAAATGAAAAGCCAAGCACTTCATGCAGGAGGTTGGCTGGTTGTAGCATTGCATCCAATACCAGCCATGTAATACAATGTGCCTCTATGTCTTGCCACCAGGACATGGACAACAAAAGGAGAGCAGATGCAGGCAGGAAGATCCTGCCTTGTTAGTGAGTCTATGGGGTCCAGATCCTGTGTGCATAGATGATGCTGACAAACAGGACACCAGGACAGGTTCCCAGTGGGGTTTTCTGTGCTGTAGCTCGTTGCAAGGTCTCCCTGGAGGGAATGCACTATGAGCACAGGCTCTGTTGCCCAGCATGGAAGAGGAACAAAGCCCTGTGGGACACCCAGCTGGATGCCCTCCTCTGCACCCCCGGGGCACCTGTGCTCTGCTCACCTTCTCCTGCTGCCGCACCGTATCCTCCAGAGCTTTCATCTTGGTGATTTTCTCCTGGTATTTCCTCAGTACTGTCTGCTGCTGATGCTGCTGGGTTCGCTGCTGCATCACCAGCTCCTTCTCCCGGTCATTCTTCTGGTGGGGGAAAGGCAACCATCAGTTCCCTTAGGAAACCATCAGATCCCTGTTCTAATGCTTCTTCCTCACACTCCCAGCTTTGTGCTTCTACCCTTATGCTATGAGCCATCTCTGACATGCCCTAACTCCTCCATTAAACTCTCTTCTTTTACATGCAGCCTTCTTCTGAGCTCCCCTTACTAAAGGCAGCCCAGACCTTTGGCCTTGTGCCCTGGACATGGTATCTGTTTGCACTAGACCATGAAGCCCTCAGGACAGCATTGATGATGCTGGAATAATGGCCCAGCAGGCCAAAGCCATCTGCACAGTTACCCGGATCAGCTCATTCTGCAGCTGTTGCACACGGTCTTTCATCCTGCTCATCTCCACTGTCCCAGCAGCCAGTTTGTGCTTGAGGGCCACTGTAAGAGACCACACAGCCTGATCAGTGCCCTGCAGCATGGCGTAGTGTTTGGTGGATACAAGCGGCTCTCAGGACTCCCAGGGAATAGGGGGAACAGGTCTATTTACTAAGGCCAACAGTGCCCAATTAGGACTGAGGAACGTTGGCCAAGAGGGAGAGTCCTGGAGGAGAGGTCAAGGATGGAGATAACAGGGAATGAGGGGCACTGCCATAGCTGGGTGCGGGCAATGGAACTGTGCCTGGCTCTAGACAAGGCGATTAATCCTTCACTTTCCCACTCCCTGTAACGTCACAACCAGAGAACCTCTCCACTCTTCCTCATGGTGGCCTCTTCCCTCCTTGGCTCCCACTGGGCCGTGCAGAGGCAGGGTAGAGGCGCACAACTTACCTATACTGTCCACTATCTCCACCTTGGTCATGACATCCACATCCACGTCATTCAGCAGTGTGCGGCCCACTTCCTCATGCATGCTCAGATTGCGGCGCAGCGTGCTGTTCTCCGCCTCCAGGCTGGCAACACGCCTGCGCAGAGACAGGATGTCATCTGCCATCTTCCTCATGGCCAGACGGTAATTATCCAGCTCCTGCTGGCCACAGGAAAGCATCTGTTACAGCACATTCAGCTAGCACGACCTCAGCATAAAGACACATGCTTAGCTCTTCATCTCCCTTCCCCCCACTCACTCTAATGACCAAGGGGCTGGCCAAAGGCTTCTGCCACCAGACAGAGCAAAATCCTGGCATTGGATGGGAGAGCTGCAAACCACATGGATGAGCTGTATATATTTTCCCACCCAACATGTATAGAACACAATAGCCACAGCCCCCAGGTGTTCAGGCATGCACCATAATGTACTGAACTTGTAGAACATTCTTCATCCAGAGAGCTCAAAGCCCTCTGGACCTCATGCTACAGATGGGGGAAAAGGGACAGGAAATGACTCACCAAAGGTGACTAAGTCAGTGGCAGAGTGGCAGGCCCCAGTTTACGTGTCCCAAATTAACCATTGAGTGATGGAATCAGTCCTGGGTATATGTCAGTTCTTTGCTCTGATTCATAAAGCTCTCATCATAGCAGCAGTGATGTTCTCAGAGGACTGAGAAGATTACCGAAGAAGCCTCAGAACAGGAATTATACCCAGCCACATAGGGCAGCAGCACACCACATGCTCCCTCCTGGCTTCAGTTCTACTTACTAGTCCTGCCTAGATCCATAAGAACTTAACAGCGGCTGTACAGGTCAGACCAAAGATTCATCTAGTCCTGTATCCTGTCTTCCAATGCCAGGTGCACCAGAGGGAATGAACAGAATAGGCAATCATCATCAAATCACAGACTCATAGAATACTGGAACTGGAAGGGACCTTGAGAGGCCATCATGTTCAGTTCCCTGCCATCACGGAAGGACCAAGCACCATCTAGACCATCCCTGACAGGTGTCTATCCATCCTGCTCTTAAATATCTCCAATGATGGAGAATCTACAACCTCCCTAGGCAATTTATTCCAGTGTTTAACCACCCTGACAGGAAGGTTTTCCTAATGTCCAACCTAAACCTCCCTTGCTGCAAATTAAGCCCATTGCTTCTTGTCCTATCATCAGAGGCCAAGGAGATCTCTTCCAAAAAAAGTTTCGTCCGAAAGAGAGCGTGCACACTGCAAAATTGCATTGAAAAAGCAATCTGCTTTTTTGAAAGACAGCATCCAGACTGAATGGACACTCTCTCACATGTAAGCTGTGATTGCTATGGATGGAACAGCCACCACGGCACCTGTGCTTTTTACTCTTTCCTTTTCTTCTGAAAGAACTCCCTCTTCCCTGTCCACACACGCCTTTTTGCAAAAGAGCTCTTTTGCAAAAATGCTTCTACCTTGTAGAATGAGGATTACCAATGCCGGAAAAACCCCTCTGTTCTTTCGATCTTCTTGCGGAAGAACGCATTTGCAGTGTGGACATTCCTCAAGTTTTGGTGGGAAAAATGGCCATTTTTCTGACAAAACTCTGTAGTGTAGACATACCCTCACAGTCCTGACAAACAGAGGTTAGGGACATCATCCTGGCTAATAGCCATTGGTGGACCTATGCGCCATGAATTTACCTAGTTCTTTTTTAACCCCATGAACAGAGGTTAGGGACATCATCCTGGCTAATAGCCATTGGTGGACCTATGCGCCATGAATTTACCTAGTTCTTTTTTAACCCCATGAAAGTCTTAGCCTTCATAACATCCTCTGGCACGGAGTTCCACAGGTTGACTTGTGTATTGTGTGAAGAAATATTTCCTTTTGTTTGTTTTAAATCTGCTACATTTTAATTTACTTGATGACCCCTAGTCCACGCACTCCCATCTTTGTATGTAGGTATAAACCCCTGCCAAAAGGAAGCTTTCACTTTAGGCATCTGACCAAGTGCGCTCCAGCCCACAAAAGCTGATGCCCAAATAAATGTGATAGTCTTTAAGTGGCCAATGGACTCCCTATTGTTTTTACTGAAACAGACTAACATAGCTAGATCTCTGAACCCCCTAGATGATTTGCATTTGCTAAGGTAAAAAGGTCACACACCAAAACAGAACATGCTAAGGGATGCACCAGCTTTCTTAGGGACCCTCTTTTAAGTATTTTCTCAGGGAGACTGTTTATGACAGTAAAGGGGCTCTTTCATTTAGCAGTAAAAAGCATAATGAGATCTGATGGCTGGAAGCTGAGGTTGGACAAATTCAGATGAGAAAAAAAGGTGCAATGACAGTCCTTGAACAGTAGAACAATATGCTGATGCATGTGGCAGATTCTCCAACTCTCGAAGCTTCTAATTCCAGGTGAGGTGTCTCTTTCTAAAAGATGTGTGCCAGCTCCAACACAGGCTATTGGGTGAGCATCATGAGTATTTTTCAACGAGACTTTTTTTGGTCAGAAGATGCCTATTTGTCAAACCCAGCCTGTGACAGACAGAACCACACCTCCTGGCTGCTGCCATCTGATAGAAGATTAGGGTTGTCAGGTGTCCAGTTTTGAACTGGACAGTCCAGTATTTGAGCTTTCTGTTCAGGAAACAAATTGAGAAAATATAAATGTCCGGTATTTTCTAAATAAGATGTAATGTAGATTGTGATGTAATGTCAAGTGTGTCCAGTATTTTTGTTGAAACCATCTGGCAACCCTATAGAAGATATATATGCTGGCCTTGGGGTGAACAGTTTTCTGTCCCAAGTAACCAGGGCAGGTGCTGCTACAGCACAAACCAAGGGCCAATTAAGAGCCTGCGGCTATGTCTACACTCGCAGCTTCTTACGTGAGTAATATGCAAATGAGGCTAAGCGTGGAATATCGCCCAGCCTCATTTGCATACCTAACGAGACAGCTTTTTTTCAGAAGAGGCTCTTGTGTGAGAAGGAGCGTCTACACTGTCCCTTCTTGCGCAAGAAAAACCCTCTTGCGCAAGGCCGTTACACGTATTACTTTTCAGGAAGAACGGCATTGCGCAAGAGGGTTTTTCTTGCACAAGGAGGGGCAGTGTAGACGCTCCTTCTTGCGCAAGAGCCTTTTCTGAAAAAAATGGTGGCTCATTAGGTATGCAAATTAGGCTGGGCGATATTCCACGCTTAGCCTCATTTGCATATTACTTGCGCAAGAAGCAGCGAGTGTAGACATAGCCTGCCAGAAGCACCAGGCTAATCAGAACACCTGCAGCCCATAAAGGACCTGGTGGGGTTAGTTTAAAAGGCTTCCCTTCAGGGGGGGCTGGCAGGCGAAGGACTGGGAGTGAAGAGCAGAAGGTGCCCTGGGGAAGAGCAGAAGGATTTGGTACTGGGTGGAGTTGGTTGGGAAAGTGGTTGCAGGGAAAAGCTGCAGGTCTGTTGGTAAAGGAATTACTACCTGCTGCCTCTGCCGTTAGGGGCCCCTAGTCCAGAACCCAGACAGAGGGCAGGTCTGGATTCCCCCACCCGCAACCTTCCCTGCACCACTACAGAGACTATCCCTGAAGGCGGGAGTTTGGGACTAAAGAGGGATTTCACCCCAAACTTGCTTGACTGGCCTTTGAGGAAGATAGCTCCATAGGCTGTGACCTACCCTCTAGTAAAAGGCGAGAGGGGCCATAGTGAGCCTCTGAGGCAAACACTATCCACCTAAAAGTGCAGGGCCTCCCGAGGCAAGGCCAGAGCTCTGTCACGCAGCCCTTTCTGAGGACATATATATCAGCTTGGATTCATTTTTCATTGGGAAGGAACTCCAGTTCTGGAATGGAATTTCTGGTCAAAATGAGGCAGGAATCATCCCAGACAAGCCAAAAGCCCAGTGGCTAGGGCAGTCAGTTCCATGGGGGTCAAGTCCCTATTTTTCCTCAGGCAGGGCAGGGATTTGATCCCAGCACTATCATATCCAAGGGCTGCTACTTTCACATAGATTTCCATTTTTTTCCAATGCAGAAGGGGAAAAAAAATGGCAAAACCTTGTTTCACACATCCTTTTCTTAGTTCTAGTTGTGGGCTTTGATGCAGGACTCACTGGGGCAGGTTTCCTGACTTACGCTATTTAGGAAGTCAGAGGAGATTATCACAATGGCTCCGTCTGAACTTCAAACTTCTTAATAATTCTGCGAAAGGGGTTGTGTATGAACATTACTATCACCATTTTAAAAGCAGAAAAACTGAGACACCAAGGGATTAACCATGGCTTGCCCAAGGTCAATAACAGAGGTAGGGATAACATCTAGAAAACCTGACTCCCAATCTGCTGCTCTAACAACTAGACCACATTGCTCCTCATCTGCATGTCCTATAATTATAGAAATGAATTCCCTACCCACCAATCCAACTAATAGCCAGTGAAGATCCTAAGAGAGGAACACACTTGGTGGAAAGGGAGCAGGAAACCAGTATAGCAAAGTGAGGGCATAGAAAAGACTGGATTTATGAACTCTCAATGCATGATCTCCTGGGGGACTGAAGCTGAGCAGATCTCTTCCCCACTGGCATAATTCTAGCTAAGCCACTGGCATTTCATACTGGCCGGTTTGTTTCTCTAAAAAGCACCAGCTCTCCTCTCCCCTAGCAAGGCCTCCAGCCTGCTGTGCATGGAGGCCGGGAGGTGATAACGTTGCCATGGTTTGGAGCCCAGGGGCAAGGGCACTTTGGAGCCCTATCTCAGGAATGGATGAAACAAAAGCAACAAGCAGCTGCATTAGCTAAGAGAAGCAAGCTGGGGTTCTGGCCAAGGTCACAGGCTCAGGGAATGCCAGCTAAGTTCCATTCCCACAGTTTTCAGAGCTGTGGCCTGCAGTGAGGCAGAGAGGATGGCTGCTGCTTGGCATTTCAGATCTAACAGTGCTACCAAGTATGCAGAACACAGCTGCTGGGTCTCCCAAAAATCCAACTAGGCCCACACACAGCATACTCCTGTGCTTTCAATACTTCCTGAGACCTGCAAGCCGCCCATACCTACTGAGCTGCCATGCTTTGTCAACATGACCTGAGTCTCTGATGAGGAACATGCCAGCTGCCTTCCTGTAGACCATACCTGTCACACTGTGTCCATGCAGGCACACGGACCTGCTGATGAACATGCCAGCTTGTCCATCCTCTTGG